GAGGCAAGAGTATGCCCAGCATGTTCAGGGAACAGAGACCATATCAGTGTGGGGGATGGAGGAAACACAGTGCAGAGGAGAAGGAAATGATGTAGGAAGGAAATGGCAGACTCAGATTGTTAGAATTTAGGAGGCATTTTGAGGACTTTGGCTTCTGTTTTGAGTATGCCATTGAAGAGATTTGAGTGATATGCTTTACAGGACCTCTTTGGATGCCATGTTAATAAGAGACTGTAGGATAGCAAGGCCAAGGGAGGGTAGAACAATAATTCATTCACAGACATGATTAACTCACAGAAGTGCCTCTTTCTCACTGAAGATATAGAGCAGGGATTGGCAAGAAATGGCCCACAATGGATACAAAAATAAGGAGGTTATTCTGATAGGACTTCCAACAGATAGAAGGAAGTATTGAAAGTCATAAAAGATCACCTAATCTTGTGAGATTTACAGCTTTATTTCCATGTCAAGCAAGTTGTATAAGTGCCTGATATTCATCTGAACTTCTGGATGCTTCTCTGAGCCAAAAAGTTCAACCTCTTGAGTTTTGCTCTTTGTGAGTGGAAATTGACACCAGACATGCCATTTTTAGACTCAAGAATTTGGGGTGGGCATTAAGCCTTCATCCTCAAGTGGAATTGAGCTCCTGGTAAAATATAATTATTATGAGACAAAATTCCTGGAAACACAATAGTAGCTAACCAGGGCTTAAGTACCAAATAAGTGCCTGTATATTTACCTATAATACATGAAATTACTGTACCTACCTACTAAATGTGTTCTCTTTAGGAAATGAAAGGTATTTGAGACATAGGATTTTTGTTTTGTTTTGTTTTCTCACCAAGACTGTGACCTTCTACACAGAATCTACATTTCACTAAAATCTATATAACCAGTGCCAAACACACCATCTGGCACACAATCAATACATCTGCAATGATTGAATTAACAGATGGAGATATGACTTTTTTCCAGATTAACACATTCTTAAGAAAGAGCCAAGACATGAGCCAATAGAAACATTTTGTTTCTAGTCACAAAGTGGCAACTGACATATAAATGACACAGAGAAGCGCTACCACAATTCAAAGAAGGCATAAAAGTTCTCATGGGATTTGTATAAGAAAATACATTAGAAGAAGAGGGAGATGACTTTTGAGTTAACCCGGGTGGAGTCACAGAGAATCGTGATTTTGTCCTAAGCCTGAATTTAAATTGCGACTGCACTGTGGTGGTGTTATACATAATGGTGATCGCATCAACTTACACTGAGACTTGTAGAGATTATGAGGGTTGTCCTAGATCCCAAAACAAGTCCATCTTAAATTGAAAATTTAAAAAGTCAAGCTGTTTCTGGGGTGCCATGTTGCGTTTGACAGTCATTTTTTGATGGAGTGCTGGAAATGGGCTCTAGATGGAGGGTAGGAAATAATGGCATTGCAGACTGGTGAAATGCATCTAAATGTCACTCTTGTCCTGCTATCAATGAATGTGGAGAACTCACCAAATGGTTCAGTGAAAAGATTAATGGGGAGAGTGACTGCAGACAAATGGCAGACTAGGAAGCTCCAACCTCTCCTTCCCCCCCTGGAAACACCAAAAAGCTAACCAGAAATTAGCTGAACTAACTTTATCAGAGCTCTGAAATACAGTCAAAGGATTACAGCCAATGAACATATGCCTAATTTGGAAGAACAAACAAACAAAAAACCCAAAAAGCAACATTTTTAAATGGTAGGAAATTTTTTGGTGTTTTCACTTACCTTTTCCCCAACCTCCTTTTCCTCCCTGATGTATCACGGTCTGGCCTGGAAGACATGGCATCTCGGTTACTCCTTCCCTCCCTTAAGCTGAACAGAGCAGAGAAGACTTTATTTGCAGAATTCTACCTCTCTGGAGGATGCTTAAAGGAGTGGTCTCTTTTTCACCTAACTCAGCTCTCAGGCAGAAAAAGTGTCAGGCACTGCCTGTGAAAGATATAGGAAGACTACAGACTTGAAGATGCCTGAGACAAAAGATTATAGGTGGGGACATACAATAGACTATTTATTTATTTATTTTATTATTATTTTTTGTCCTTTTTTGTGACTGGTAAGGGGATCGCAACCCTTGGCTTGGTGTCGCCCACACCACGCTCAGCCAGTAAGTGCACCGGCCATCCCTATATAGGATCTGAACCCGTGGCGGGAGTGCCGCTGCGCTCCCAGCATCGCACTCTCCCGAGTGCACCACAGGGTCGGCCCCAATAGACTATTTAAAGACCTGAAGAAAGTCTGGAGTTAGACTCCAGAAAATTAGGACTTTTAACAGCAGTGGTGTATATGGGACAATTGAGAAAGCCACCTTCAGGCCCAGGCAAGATGCATGCTCAAAAGAGACCTGAGAAAAACTTTAGCTTTAACCTTTAGCTTATCCTCAGGCTCAGAAAACATCCAGCTAATCAGCTCAGGACTGCCCCATACACAGTCAGTCAGCAAAAACTGGGTTTTGAGGCTTTTCTTCAAATGCCCAATTTACAACAACAAAATCACAAGATATACAAAGAAACAAGAAAGCATGACCCATTTAAAGGAACAAAATAAATTTATAGAAACCATTTCTGAGGAAGGCCAGACATTGGACTTACTAGATAAAATCTTAAAACAACTGTCTTAAATATTCTCAAAGAACCAAAGGAAAATATCAAAAAAGAAATAAAGCAATTCAGAAAAACTACATGGGAACAAAGTGAGAATATCAACAAAGAGACAGCAGTTACAAAAAGCAATCACTCAGAAATGCTGGAGCTGAAAAATACAATAACTGGACTGGAAAGTTCATTAGAAGTGTTGAACAGAAGATTGGAACAGGTAGAAGAAAGAATCAGAGAAGTCAAAGATAGCACACTGGAAACTATCCAGTCTGGGGAGCATAAAGAAAAAAGGGAATGAAGAAAGTGAAAATAGCCTAAGTTACTTCTGTGACACCATCAAGAGGACCAATATAGGCCTTATGAGAGTTTCAGAAGAAGAGAGAGTAAATGGGCAGGGATTATTTGAAGAAATAGTGCCTGAAAACTTCCCAAATTTGATAAAATATATGAATCTAGAAATCCAAGAAACTCAATGTATTCCAAGTGAGATAAACCCAGAGATACCTACACTGAAGGCATATTATCAAAACTACCAAAAGACAACAAAGAGAGCATCTTTCAAAGCATCAGGAGAGAAATGACTCATCAGGTACCAGCCATCATAAAAAATATCAGAAATTGTGGAATCCAGGATTGGTGGGAAGATATATTTAAAGTGCCAAAAAAAAATTGTCAAGTGAGAATTGTATGTTCAGCAAAACTGTCGTACAAAAATGAGGGAAAACCTTAGACATTCCTAGATTGTCATAAACAAAAGCTGATGGAGATTATTAACACTGGAGCTGCTTTACAAGAAATGTTAAAGGGAGTCCTGCAGATTGAAATAGAAGGATGATAAGCCTTTCTCCTAAGAAGGAGAAAGACAGTCTTTCTCCAACTCTTTCAAAAAATTGAAGAAAAGGAAATAATGTTCTAGCATACTCCATAGGCCAGCATTGCCCTGATGTTGAAGCCAGAAAAAAAAACACTATAAGAGAAAAAAAACATGAGGCCAAGATTCCTCAAAAATATTGATGCAAAAATCTTCAACAAAATGCTAACACACTGAGTTCAGCAGCATATTAAAAGCATTATACACCATGACTAAGTAGGATTCATTTCTAGAATGCATTGTGTTTCAATATGTAAAAACCTATTAAGTACATCACACTGACAGGATGAATCAAGTAAAGGAAACTACATGCAACTGATGCAGCAAAAGCATTTGACAGAGATCAATACTCTCTCATGTTCAAAATCCCTCAATAAACTGTGAATAGAAGGGAACAATTACCAAGCAAGGGTTCCCTGCCCAACACACACAGAAGCCAATACTGTTGTATTGAATTTTGAGAAAAGAAAAGGCATTATTTTTTTTAGGTTGACCAGCAAGGAGACTGGAGTCAAGGTGCTCTCAAATCTATCTCTCTGACCCAGGGTTGGACTGATTTTAACTGTTACTGGGCAAGATTGATTGGCTAGCTTTGAGTCAGGCCATATGACTGGGCAAGAATGGACTATCTCTGGGTCAAGCCAGAGATGTATAACGATGTAGGCAAAATATATTGGCTACCTCCTAATCAGTTCACATGACAGGATGTAAGTTGATTGTGTGCTCCAAGTTAGGACATTTATGGTGATGAAACTTATGAATGCTGGATTTTCCTTGCTGAAGAACCTCTGGCTTTCAAAATGGCTCTGCTGTTTCACCTTCCAGCTCTTGACTTCCACAGATGAAAGATGAGTGGTTTCTGAGGGGCTTGAGGCCTTCTGGCAAGACAACTTGTAAGACAACTTGAGATGAGGAAAAAAAAAAAAAAACAGTTTGAACTTATTTTTAGGTGATTTCATTTCCTCCTTTTCTTTTTACATTCTTCAATTTTGATGCAATGGGGAGCAACAGCCACTCTATCTAATTCCTGTTGGAAACGGATGCAAATCAGCGTATGAGGGAAGGAACTGTTTTGCACTTAATTGTAGATATTTACGCATAGGCTGGAAAATCATCACATTGTCAAGTGATTTGCATTTGCTAGACAGGCAACAAATAGAGTTTTATGAAGAAAAAAATAAATCCCAATATACATAATATTATGATTCCAGCTGGAGCAAATCCTCAAAGTTAGATCCCTACAGGATCCATGAAAACATGTTCTATAATTGATTAAATCCATATTCCTCAAGGGACACTTTCTGGAATCAAGTGGCTTGTTGTCTAATTTTATGCCCACATTGTCTAATCAACCTACGCAGAAGAGTTCATGGAAATACAACAAGATGTATTAGCCACAGTATAAGTGCTTCCCTGTTCAGCTAGTATATAGTCTAGTGCTATTTTATTATCTAAACCAACCTTAGCTAGAGAATCTAAGCTCTGTTGTTGAGCAAGTCATGCCTGTGCAATTTCATTGGCAGGTATTTTGAAGGGGAGGCAAAGATTCCTGAGCACATGTTCATGGGCTGCTATACCCCACCAAAGGTAATGGTGTCCATAAAGGCCAGTGGGCAGGGAGTGGTGTTGGCAAATAATGAGGTACTGTCCCCAGGGCCAGCCATGCCATTGGCACCTCCAGAGCCAGAAGTTATGGCTTTGCTAATGGGGAAAGCACTTGGGGTGTTACCAAAGGCAGGCTGGGTGTTGGCAGGTGGGCCAAATGCAGACCATGGTGAAGTTGAACCTGCAAGACCAGGCTGCATGGTGCTACCACTGGGTAGCCGAGCTGAGGGGAAGTTAGGCATGTGGCTTGCGCTGGAGCTGGAGGATGCCCAAAAGGAAAGAGCTGTGAGTACTGCCCACCAGGGATCCCAAACATGGGCTGACGAGTGGCTGCTGGATTTACAGGATGGTTGCAAATTGCGATCAGTCCCCTGACTGACCATGCAAGCCAACTATTGGAAGCTTGGGCTGGGGCCATGCTGCCACTGGGTGGTGTGTTCCCAGAGCCAGGAAGAGTCTTGTTAAATGGGGTGTAGTTGTCACTGGAGATGGGGGGAGAGTGGAAGAGGACAGCCTTGGATGGAGGGGTGGTATCCACAGCCTTGGATGACATTACTTCAGAGCCACTACCTACCAGGCTGGAGGCAAATGCAGGAGTTAGGATGGGCAGGCCCATAACAGCAAGGCCTCTGGAGAGAGAGGCTCTGTGCTGCTGCCCAGCATGTGGGCTGAGGGGTGGTTTGTGGGCCACAGGGCTGGGTAAAAGTTGGGCATGGAAGCTGTTGTGTAGATAGGTGGGCTGCTGTTATCTCCTGCCTGGGCAGAGTGTGTCTGCCTCCTCCTGTAATGGATTTGGTAAACTGGGAGAAAGCTCATATTGGAGGATTGGGGAGATGTACAGATTACAGCCGTGGAAGTGGGAGTAGTGTCCATGTCCTCAACCCCAGGGTCCAGAGTAAGCTGCCAAGTCATGTGTGCAGATGCATTGGCTGTGATGGAGGATACTGTGGAAGGAATGGGATTGCGGTGAATGCAAAGGTCCTGGTAGGAGGGAAGGGAGGAGGGGTGGAGAAGGAAAGAGGAGGAGGGGGGTCTACACACACGATGGGCAGGGGGTCCATTGCGTAGGTGGGAGGCCTGAAGGAGAAGGGAGCGAGACTGGGAGGTGTGGGGAGGGCAGAAATGGGAGGCCCTGCAGCTGTGACTGAAGGAACAGGACCTCCATTCTCATTAGTTGGAGCCCCTGGAATGGGACTGGACCTAAAGAGAGGAAGAGAGTCAGCAGGGACAGCCAAAGGAGTAGGGTTAGAGAAAGTGCAGATTATCTCCTCCCCAGTGTTTGGTGGGAGGAAGGGAGAGGGACAGACAGGGTCAGGACTCGGGTAGGAAGGCTGGAGTCCCTGGTGGTGGTGATGGGAGTAGCTGGTACCTGCACAGGTGGGGAGGGCTGGCCTGAGGGGGGCTGGCTTCTGCCCTGGCCTCTGTCCCCTCCCACAAGGCCTCCTCTTCATCCTCCAAGACTTTGCTGTTCTGTCCACACTCAGTGCTCTCCAAGGCACCCTGGTCTTCCTTGGAGCTCTACGGGGAATCTTAGGAGGTGGGGGCAGCTCACCTGGATTCCCCAGCAGGAGCAGGGGCGGTGGCACCGGCTTCCTACGTTTCCTGCTGCAGGGCCGCTGGGCTGTCTTCTCCAGCAGCAGGGAGCCGCCTGGGGCTGGGCAGGGAGCGGCCCGGGGCTGGGGCAGGGAGCCGCCCGGGGCTGGGGCAGGGAGCCGCCTGGGGCTGGGCAGGGGGCGCCGCTGCCTCTGGATCAGGCCTCCCCGGGGACAGGCCCCCGCTAGCAG